ATCATTTTAAAAGACTCTGCTGAGGTATTGTTGCGCTACTGTTATGTCCAATTTTAATACACCGAATGTTGCATTCAGTAAAGGAGCAATAATTAAAGTTACTTCATGAGGTTGGCCTTTTAGTGTAAACTAAAAGTAATTAATATCTTAATCGTATGCAAATGGGTGCTTATTCTAATGAATGACACAACATGTTTCTTCTTTAACACTTTCACTTTTGATTCCGAATTGAAGCGGCGTAATGGCACCGTTCCCTTGTTTCTAGTCACATAGTGGACCATTTAAGCAGGTCCCAGCTCCATGGATTTGAGCACCTGCAGTGCATGGATGCAAAACCGCATCAGTAGCAGGGCTGAACAAAGGCCTGCTCGAGCACCTGCTGTTATGCCATATTGTTTCTTCTTTCTGGGTCAGTTTTCCAAATCGTATTTTGAATCCACAGCTCTCTAAAGAAAAAATAATGCCCGACTTGTCTGTGTATTTATTTTAGTTAAAATTTTCAAAGTAAGAAGTTTTCAACGCTTAAATCATACGCTGCATTTACAATGAACACGGATATTACCATCATGAAACTTCAGAAAGGATTTTTAGGCAGATTGAAGCCTCAGGTCATATGTGCCAGATGTTTTATGTGCATGAATAATTGTTTATTCATCAATTGTTAGCTGAATTTAAATTTTCAAGGGTGTCAGAGATACGTTAAAATTGATACTGGAGCAGTCGATTCCTGTTCACTTACGCCCACCTCAGCGCGACCTGGCGGAACTTGCCGAAGCAGTAGGTTAATCATTATATTGCCTTTTGTCTCAAATAAAATTTCTCTTTTAATAGTACATCCAGCACATATGCAGCAGGGAGGCTAACTTGTTGCCGGCGTATTTCGTCATCAACGAAATAAAAAAGATGTTTCCAGACGTTCGATGCTTTTCTCATTGGGTAGGTTAATTTTGCAAGTGCAAGAACTGTATTGATTTTTCGTAGGTGCTTAATGTAGATGTTGTATAACTTGGCTAATTCGGCATTCAAGAGGCCGAAAAGCCAGCTTAATTCGGAATTGGTAAAAATAATCCAATTATCAATTTGATAAAAGTGAAAACGACATTGTTTAAAATTACGCATTTTTGAATGACATTAAATTTAGGTTTGCTAGTTATTTTTTCAAAGTGGAGCACAAAACTCAATCTATAATGGAATAAGTAAAATATTAATTTTAACACTGTTACCAGTTATGTACTTGTGCAAGATGTGCAATAGTCATTATCATCAAATACCTGTTGAAAATCGTAGTGGCTAATCTAAAATAATAACTAATTTTGTCCCTTTTCAACTTACTTGAATTCCTAGCGCGACAAGCTTCACGACACATCGCCGGTCCTCTGTTCAATATGACAATGGTCCAATTTTCTTGCTTATGGCAACTATTTAAGGTGGAAGCTAGCCCATCCTCCCAATGTCCCTTCCAATAGCAGGTGCGTAAATGTTTCACACAGACAACTATTGATGATAGAAGTAGCAGACAGTAGATGTTTCATAAATGAACAAACGAAGTGCATGACTGTACTAATACTGTTTTTAAGGTAAACTTTAATTCGACATATTCAATACGAAATGTATCAATATTGTAAGCATGGGACTAATTTCTTTCTGAATTATGAGCTGTCAGAATTTTGAATTTTATCCCCGCCCCCACGTACACTTATAAAATTGCCTATTTCGTCTTAAATTAGAAAGAAGATGCGGACTCTATGAGAATTTCCAATTAACCAGGTTTAACTGTATTAAGGTGCATATCATTTAGTCAGTTTTGATGCCTGCTGATCATTTTGGGTCGCGTCAGATGGTGTCTCCAATGTTTCTGAGTTTGTGCCACCGATTGAGCTTCGACAGAAGATAACCCGATTCGGGAACACAGTCCTTCGATACACTTGCCCTGTGTTATTCTAGGATATCCACCGGATCTGCGGCTGATTGGTTTATCAAGTGGTAGTTGTTTCGTCCATCTTTATAGAAGCATTCGCAAGACAAGCCAAGATCACCACATCTGTGACTTTTCAATCTGGAGAAGTGGCGACTGTACACCAAGGCTCTCTCTCGAATGTCTCTCTTCTGTACCATGTCGCGACGCGTGAGCCTAGCGATTGGTTTCAGAAAGCCCATTTCAGCCGCTTGTACTCAGGATCGAAATTTTTAGCCATGGGCCATTCGACTCTTTATCATAGGTTTGCGTAGGGATAAAGATTCACTTGAACACCTACAACTTAAGCTTCAGACTCGGCTCTGCTTTAGTCGCAACTGTTTGGCATAATCCACGCACAGAGCCTCTAGTCGTTCTATTTCACGGATCGTAAGACCACGAGATATTGTTAAAGAAGGTCGAGGCAAAGAATTCGCAGCGCATTGCGCCCTTTTCGCTGTAACACTGCTGAATCTTTAAATGGGTAAATGTAACCAACGAGTCTCTGCCGAAAGGGTAGGTTGTTATGACGTGAAGGAAGAAGCCATTAGAAAGTGCTATTTACGCTTTTTAGAGCAATTTTATCTATGAAAAGATTTTCATCTCAAATCAGCACAATTGTATATGAGGCGGTGACTATTATTCTCCTATGACAAATGGTAATATTATTTCATCATATCGTCTACCATTTGAACACAAACCATAATCACCCTTAGGCTAAAGTGACGAACAAAGCAGAAGATATTTTTGATTATTGATATAAAGGAACAAAGAAAATAACACCCTTCGCGTGTTTGAATGGTTAAGCACAAAGCATTAAAAACGTTTATGAATTCATGTCGCCGTTTCTTTGATTAGAGGAGGAACTATGGTAATTGTACAAAGGAAGATTAACATGTCTAACTTTTCGTAGTGTACTTTACATCACTTTCTTATCATGCCATTTCAATTGCATGAATGTTCTAATTTCTAGATTTGCTAATCTCGTCTATCATTTTTTCAGTTAATGCCTGCGATAAAGCCAATAGGTCATGATTATCTATCGTATCAGAGGGCAGACGGCCAGGCATTCTTCATATGCTTATATTTTGTTGTTTTTGGAATAATAGTTCATTCTGATCTTGTGACCCTTTCAGAGACTGGCCGACATGTACACGAAGGTAATTGATTCTTTCCGCCCGCTCGCGCAAATGGTCAGTGTGTCAGGTAATTCATGTTTTGTTCCTTTGAAACGCGAATAACCTTTTTTCACTCAGGCCGCGCATACCTGGTTCCTATATCTTCCCATGTGTCTTTATACTTCAGCACATTTTGGAAGCTGGACCCTGTGACTTTAAGGTTATCACTGAAAGGATTCTTGCCGTATCCGCAGGTTGGAAAATTTTTCATCACTGCAAATGAATTTGCTATATTAACGATAACTGCTGGCTAGCATTGCTTTCATTGTCGATTAGTATTGTAATCGTTGAGGAAACTGTATTAACTAATCACTGCGTTAGATGATCAAAATATGCTTTCTGTGTAGCGCTATATAGTCGTGACATAAATACGAAGCTTTAAAAAGTTGATCATGTAAGTTATTAATACATTTATTATGATAATTACCATGCCGAGATCACAGACGTGTCGTAGAGGCAGAGTTACGTTGTCTCAATGGTCATCGAAGTTAAATAAACATAAGCTTAGGCTTCCGATTAATTGACCCATGCTGGACAGGTAGAAGAGTGAGGCCAGATCAACGTTTTAACTATACCGGATCGGCCTACATGCGGGTTACCGAGGGCCTTGCATGGTGTTGGAAAACTGATACAGTCTGCGATTAGTGGGTAAACTTAAAATGGTTCAGATTTTTCTGCTTTTGCGGACATGGCAGAATGACGGACGTGTGTAAGCACTTCTCAAAGAAAGAAAACAGTTTGGTAATGACGTACTATTACATCTCTGCTAAGCAGGGCAGATTCTAAAGAAAAAAATGCTCAAAGAAACGAGAATGGTCAATGCACTCCGTGACTTGGGCGAACGGCGTCTAGCGGACCAAAGAAGGGTCACTGAAAGAATATTCTGCAACACAATTTGAATAACACAATTTGAGCTAGGTAAGATTAGAAGCATGCTTGATGGCAAGACCACTGATAGCAAGAAAAGCTAACTAAATATATTAGCGAAATCAGTCCGGACAAAACTATGGGATGAGAGATCAAAAGACATGCTGTGGAAGTTGAATGACAAGAACAAACTGCTTCAGCACGAGATTTTTGAGGAGTTTGAATGGCTTAAGGAACGTATGACACGACTCGCTTGTATCAAAGCAAGAAAGAGCTGCATGAATATGTCACTTAAGCTAAAAGCGTCTTGAAGACGATGCTAACCGGTAATTTGAAATCCATAAATGGTGTGATGTATGCGTGCGGCAGCGCTTGTGTTAACGAAGAAACTTTGCGTCAAGCTGAAAGCAAATTCGAGAAGGGTCAGCATGATTGAGAAGAATCAACAATAAGGAGGAGAAGTAAATTAACTACAATAACTGTAAGAAAATCAAGGATGAATATATTGAAAAATTACAGGATTTGACCAGATAAAGCAGCATTCAAGAACCCTAAGCAAAGGCTGTTAGCTGTATGAGCAAAGCCTCGAAATAGCAGGACAGGTTCGAGCGGTACAAAGAGGTAAGGGCCTTCGTTCCAAATGCTCATGCTTTCTATGAAAAAGTGTATTCAAGAATATGCCTGCAAGTAATATGGAGAAGAATCGTTTCGATTATGGAAAAGGACAAGGTACAAACACAAAGCCCATTACCAAGAAGCTATGTAGAGGAAATACGGAAGAATTGCAAACGGAATTTCTGAACTAAGAAGGGTCACAGTCGTGAAAGAGTGTGCGCAGGGCCGCTCAGATAGATGAAAAACTGGGCAACGGTAGGCCCGGATCAGGTGCATCCGTTTCGACTTGCTGTTAGGGTATTTGCACTCGCAAATGTCAGTGTTCTTGCAGAGAGTGTTTGAAGAAGGACCATCCTCTTCGTTAACGAAAGGAGTGGCACACCTAGTCTGGAAGAACGAGAACAGGGGTTATGACGATGTGCCTTCCAACGACCCGGAAACTCTTGACGTTTATATTAGCCAATTCATGTTACTAGCTTATCGGGGCAAGCAACATCATATTTACAGAACAAACATTCTGTTAGACGAAATCACAGCGAATTAAGGACCTGTTACTCTCGAGAAATGCACTACGTCAGGATTGAAAAGTGAAAATCAACAGCATGATCATGGCCTGAATCGACTTTAGAAAGGTTTTTGATCAAGTACTACCTGGGAGAATCCTGGAATGCTTGAAACTTCACAGCTTCAATGGCAGCCTAATTAAGTTTTTCAAAACAGCAGTGAGACAGTGGCGAACAGCACTGGTATATATCAAGATCTCCTGTTGTACATCGACAACCTGAAATTGCATGCGAAATCGGTAGAGAACTTGGATTATCGGATCCAACGAACACGAATATTTTTGGAACATGTCAGGATGGACTTCAGTTTTGATAAATGTGCTGAAAGAAAAAAAATTAATGAAAAAAATTAAGAATGAAAAATTCTGAAAAAGCGAAGGAATGACGCCTTCTTAGAGATAAAGGTCAAACCATCCCCTACTGTTTGGTTAAAGCGCACTAAAGGATAATACCGTAATTATGCTAAAATTATTTATATTAAGTCATAGCATTTATTTCAGATTAGCAGTAGGAGGGAATCTGCGGTAAAACATATATTTATCGTTTAATGTTAAGGATTTGAACTTACGTTGGTATATATTCAGCTTCTATGGAATATAAAAAAGTTTGATGGAGGATTGCGAAGTAATCTGAACAACTTAAATGCTATATTTAATGTTACTGATGTTCATTTTTTGTTCTAAAAATAAATGTGATATCTTCATTACTCTATTTAGAAACTTGCGTGATTGAGTGATCAGTTTATAAACCGGTTGTTCTTCACCTTTTAGCGATGTTTGAAGCTGAAATTGATTGTATGATTTAGAGCCTGGTTCAACCACAATGCTGCTTGCTGTATCAGACTTTACTTCAATCTTCATACAGAGAAATACTAACGGTGCTTATCAGCACTGGCAAACATGTAAGTAATAGTTAACATGAATGGCGCTGCCTTGCCGTTTCGAACGGTTGGTGATGCCCATGTGCAAACTCTCCATTTCATTTGTGTTAAGCAACTAAGGGCGAATCTTATACCGAAAAGTGTGATCTGCACCTCATATGCACACTTCCTTACTGGCGTCTGTAATTGTTATTGGGCTGTGGCGGTCTTCTCTGACTGATTCGAGTTTAAAGTAGGTGTTTGATAGTCGCTTATTCGTCAAAACAATGAACGATCAAGAGGGAATTCGTGGGCATTAGCCTAGACTCGTACGGATGTTAAATATTCCCTTCTGATCACAAATATTCTCAGTAAAACTGGAGATTGGGAAAAGGACTTGGGCACTGTGACAAATAGGCCTAGAGCTGGATCGTTATTCTAGCCCTAAAAGTCTTCATACTGAAACAAAAGCACAACAGACGTTGATCAGAAGGCCAGCCTGTAATATGAAGATGGTAGTAACAGATATGCATTTGGAGAAGAATCTTTCCTTCCACAGCCCTATAACCCAACGAACTGTTTGTTAACAGTTATGAATGTAGCTGGTCGAAGAAGAAGAGAGCATCTACGCAGACAGATTTCTCAATCTGATTCTCAATATTTCAGACTGCATTATAGACCTGTCTTCAGCATTTAAACGACGTGCGTTTCTTACCTGTTCACGGGAAGCTGGTTTCGCCAGTAGCTAATTGCACTGGCTAGCATATTTTTTGTTAAACTGCATCAGTATGTTGCTGTAAGGAAGAGCTGCTCGGAAACAACTCAGAACAAACCTTGCTGTTCTGCAATGTAAAGTCTTTTGGCCGTTGCTGTACAGCTTATACTTGGGTGCGTTTAATATTCGAAACGCAACCTCATGCATCAAGTATGCGGACAATATTTTTCCTAATCTCAGTCATACAGGATGAAATGGACCTGTACAAAGTACAAGCCACCGAAAATGATGGCGAAC